TAATTGGATACCCATTTCTTATGCATAATTCACCTGTTGATGAACGAAGAAGGTCTTGAGTGTAAAGCAGCAAAGGCCCATGTTTGAGAATATTTGTAGCACTTTACTGGCTGACCCACCAGCGACAAGAATGGCAAACRACAGAAGAAAGTTTCCAGCAGGCATCTTTGTCCCTGGTAGCATTGGCTGGCTACTCCAACGATGTTCTCTCTTAGGGCATTTAGGATTGGAGCAAGATGTTGTCACAGTRACCATAGTACCTGTAGCTTCTGTTTCAATGAGGGGATTATCAGACTTGCAAGTGGGGCAGAAATTGAAGAGTAAAAGTAGTTGGCTGATAAACACTATATACTTGGGTTCTGTTCGGAGGTTCCCACTCGTGCTGCTCCTGCAAATGAYGACAATGAATGATGCWTTTAATCAATATCAACGTTGATGCAAAAAGTTGACATTTTTGTTTGAAAATAATGTATTTTGAGAGACTTTATGAAGTACACAAAATAAAAAGGCCTTGTTATGTACTGTAAAGCAGCTATTTACCAGTTAGATTTACTACTTACCAGTTAGATTGCTTTTCATTCTCTTCTTCTTCGCTTTCACTCTCTACTTCTTCACTACCTGCTTGTTTTGGCTTTTTGGGTGTTGGGAAGTATTCGCTTCCACTTTCTGCACCTGGTTCAACTTCGATGCTAACATCAAGAAAATCACGGCTGTCATTCATGTCTTCCATGCTACTGTTGTCGTCGTCTTCATCATCRTCATCATCAACTGGGCCATGGTGCTGATCAGTTGGCTTCTGACTTTCACTTTGCCATTTGAGTTCTATATATAATACATAAGAAAAMGTTACATGTACATATAATGATTAAAATCTACTTTGTTAACATGACAATTGTGAGCTTTACCTCTTTCTAAAGTTTGCACAGCATGTTGTAGCTGTTTTGAGTTGGCCTCCAAGTCAATTACTCTGTTGTTTAATTCCCTGTTTTTGGCAATTAACTCTGTGCAACTTGCACATTTTTCTATACAGGCTTCAGTCTGCACAAAGGAATCCTACGAATGGAACAAATGATTTGGAATGGCATAAGTTTTCACAAAAATAATAAGAGTTTACAGCTGAGTATTTTGGACAGGTAATGCGAGAAATAGGCGATCACACATAAACAAAATAATGTAAATTGTTATCAATGAGAGAAAATGCTGTACATTTACTGTTTACTTACGCGAGTAAGTACTGTTGTTGTGCATGGCGACTCAACAACTGAAGAAGAGCGTGCGGCTGATTCATACATATCCAAGCTTATCTCAGCGTCACATGTTTCTGCCGTCTCAAGCGGTGACTGTTGCTCAATGATTTCTTGGACACTCTTGAAAACACAAATCAACCAATCGTTAAACAAACGATCGTAACTCACAAAAGTATGCTCTTTTGAGCAACCTCACCTTCCTTCGGCTTTGAGGTGACATCGAAGAAGTCGTTTTGAATGAAGACGGATCTGCAAAGATCGTTGGGATCGCCAAAATTCCTAATTCGTCTACCTTTAATTTCTTTATGAATGTACCCGTCCCAAGCACTTCATAACGACGCACAAAGTCCGAGATTTGAAAGTGTTGGCAGCATATTCTACTCGACTTTGTAGGTACCCAAACAGACATTCCTTTCGAAGCAGCCACAAAATCAACCCAGGCCTGTCTTCGTTGTTTTGCCGTGGTTCTCTCGTCATTCTCATAAGGGATTTGAAACAGCGTTATTCTTGAACCTTTCGAGGCTTTGTTTGCGCAGTTTCCGACACAACATCGAAAAACCATCGTATATAACAGTAAAAGTTTTCAATATACACAGTAGATTAATTCAAGATTCTCTCGCGAAGGTGATAGTTATTTTGAGCCGACTACGCATGCTCGTGGACCTAGGTTGACGTCATAACTAACCCTCGACCCAAGCCTTTCTTCTCTCTTCCTATGTAACACAGGGCTCCCAGAGCGCATTTCAAACTCTAATATCTCGCTCAAAATTCATCCAATCAAGCTCATGAATACATCATTTTAAAGCTCTAGCTCTATAGAATTTGCTCAAAATGGTCCAAATTTTGGGGTGATGTGCACTTTAA